AAAAAGGTTGAGAAGGGAGAGGGTTCGACATGTTGTGGGGTTGTTAACCAATGTCATAAAACAATATGTGTACTACTGTTTAATGAGAAACTATTTGTTCTGTAAGCCTTCACCTGAAGTACAATTAAAAAAAAATAAATTAAAATTGAAAAAAAAAAAAAAAATCGTGCCTCCCTGAGGGATAACATCAGAGCATTGGAGACTTAACAGTGTTGCAGGGGATTAAACTTCACTAAAATAATACAGCCAGTCATTAAATGAATAAACAAGCAAATAACAGTATCAAGTCCCAGAGGGAGGAACCGGTACCCAAAGTTGCTACAATACATTATCTAAAACAAGGCCACCGACCTTCTGTCAGCAGGGGTTTGCATGTTGCTATGATGCTAAACAGGATTCAGAGGTGATTCCAGACTAAAATGGACTAGGAAGAAAGGCCCAGCAATCTATTTCCAAAAATCAGCCAGTGAAAATCCTATGACTAACAAGGGTCTGATCTACAACCGATCATGAGGATGGTGCAGGACTGGGTAGAATTTCTTCCATTGTACATGGAGTCGTCATGAGTTGGGGGTTAACTCGATGGCAGATAACAACAATAAGTATCCAGCAAAAAATTATGGGGCATGCAAAGAGACAAAAAAAGCATGACCTATACACCAAAAAAATTAAAAAGCAGGCAACGTAAACTGCCTGTGAGAGCGACCAGCTGTTGAATTTAGAAGAAAAAGATTTCAAAGTAACCATTATATATATGTTCACAGAACTAAAGGAAACCACAATTAAAGAAGTAAAGGAGATGTACAATGACAGTATCACATCAAAGAAAGAATATCAAAAATAGAAATTATTTTTAAATGGAAATTGTGAAATTGAAAAATACAATAGCTGAAATAAAAATTAACTAGAAGGATTCAACAGTAGATTTGAAGTGGCAGAAGAAAGAATTAGTGAACTTGATAAATTCACAGAGATTATACAAGCTGAAAGAGTAAAAATAAATTTTAAAAAATGAACAGAGCTTCAAAAATGTACAGCACTGTTAAGTGCACCAACATACATGCAAGAGGAGCATCAGAAGAAGAGAGAGAGTAAGGAGAAGAAAATATGTTCAAGGAAATAACTTCTGAGAAATTCCCAAATTTACTGAAAAACCAAAACCTAAGCATCTAGCAAGCTCAACGAACTTCAAGTAGAATAAACACAAACAGGCCCACGAACAGACACATCATAGTAAAAATCCTGAAAACCAAAGACAAGGAGGAAACTCTTAAAAGCAGCAAGAGAAAAAGGACCATCACAAGGGAACACCAATAAGATTAACAGCTGACTTCTCAGCAGAAACAATGGAGGCCAGAAGGCAACAGGAAGGCATATTCAAATTGCTCAAAGAAAAAACTGTCAACCAAGCATCCTATAGCCAGCAAAGCTATCATACAAAAATGAAGCCAGAAATAAAGACGTTCCCAGATAAACAAAAACTGAGAGAATTTTTTGCTAGGAAATCAACCTTACAAGAAGTGCTGAAGTAAATTCTTCGGGGTGAAAGCAAGTGACCCCAGGCAAAAGTTCAAATCCACATACACAAACGAAGATCATTGGCAAAGGTAGTTAAGAAATTATAAAAGACACTATAAATACATATTTTTCTCCTTTCTTCTGACTGCGGTGCCATGGATCTCTTTTGTGTGGCCTTTCTCGCCATGGACTTGTAACTCCCACCCAGGCGATTAGGCGGGACTGTGCAGATAGGGTCACTGTGGCCCACTAAAGGGACTGGTCAGTTTTGCCATCCTGCTGAGCTTGAGGTGAGCCATCTCAGAGGCAAGAAAGAAAGGATCCCACCACCACCAAGGAAGAAGAACCAAGAGCAGAGCCTGTCCTTTGGACCCAGGATTCCTGTACCAAGAAGCTCCTGGAACCAGGAGACCGAGAGAGACAGACAGACAGAGACAGAAAGAAAGAGAGAGAGAGAAAGTTGTAACACAAGATGGCAAGGAGCAGTGGCAGAGAAACGACAGCAGGAAATGGCGCAGCGGGCTTCCCAGCCCACAGAGTGAGAAAGCTGAGTGCCCCGCAGCCGAGGCTTACGGGCAGAGTGGGATGCCTCTAGGCACTTACTGGCAGAGCTAAAAGAGCTTTGTAACACTTGCTGGAGCAGGGTAGAGGCCGAGGGGTTAGGGAGAGGCCTGCCTGCGAGCACAGCTGGGAAGAGGTTGTCCTGACAGAAGAATTGTCTCTTGAGCATTCCTCAACCTGAAGTGTAACAAGAGTATTGTCCGTGAGTTCTGTGCGGCCAACTGCAATGAATTATCAAACCCAAAAGAGAAGCAGACAGTACTGTGATAAGGACGGTTGGTGTCAGAATTGGTAAGACGGAGGAAAGAGGAGGCATGTCTGACCACTGCCTCATAGGAATCAGACCTGGGCTGTTGATCTTGATTCTCCTTCCCCTTTGTGAAGTTAAAGGAGGTCAGATGCCACCTACACACCATTTTTGCACTGATTTAAAAAGAGTATAAAATAATATGTACAGGAGGTGTAGCTGGGCCTCTAACATCTAGAAATGTAATATATTTGCAAATAACAGAACAAAGGAGGTAGGTGGGAACAAAGCTGTAATGAACTAAAGAAATAACAACAGATGTAATAAATATTTAATTATTAAAGTAATAATTAGACCAATGTACTGTAGGGTTTATGCCATTAATAGATGTAATGTGTATAACAATAAAAAAAAATTTTTAAAAAAACAAACCATTGCCATGGAGTCCATTTCAACTCATAGCAACCCTACAGGACAGAGCAGAACTGTCCCACAGGGTTTCCAAGGTTGTAATCTTTACAGAATCGGAGTCCTGGTGGCACAGTGGTTAAGAGCTTGGCTGCCAACAAAAGGTCAGCAGTTTGAATCCACCAGCCGCTCCTTGGAAACCCAATGCGGCAGTTCTACTCTGTCCTACAAGGTTGCTATGATTCCGAATCAACTCCACAGCAACAGGTTATGGTTTTAATCTTTACAGAAGCAGACTGTCACACCTTTCTCCTGAGAAGTGGCTGGTGGATTTGACCACCTATCTCTCGGTTAGCAGTCAAGTGCTTTAACCACTGCACCATCAGGGCTCTATCAATAATGTAAATGGATCAGAAAATCCAATCAAGTGACAGAGATTGTCAGAGACAGAGATTGTCAGACTGGATCAAAAAACATGACCCAATAATGTGTCGTCTACAGGAAACACACTTTAAATTCAAAAACATTTTCCAGGATAGACCATAAGCAGAGCCATAAAACAAACTTTGATAAAGTTAAAAGGACAGAAATAATACAAAGTATGTTCCAGATTACAATGGAACGAAATCAAAAATCAGTAACAAGGAAAAGTTTAAGAAACTCACAAATACGTGGAAATTAAACCACACACTCTTAAACAACCAATGGATCAAAGGAAAAATCAAATGGAAAATTAGAAACTACCTGAGATGAATGAAAATGAAGTCACAACAAACCAAATCTTACGGGATGCAGCGACAGCAGTCCTTAGAGGAAAATTTGTATCTATAAATGCCTACATTAGGAAAGAAAAAAATCTAAAAGTAATAACCTTACCTTTCACCTTAAAACACTGGAAAAAGAAGAACAAACTAAACCCAAAGCAAGCAGGAAAGGGAAGAATAGAGTGGAAATGAAGGAAATAAAGACTAGAGAAAAATCAGTAAGGCCAAAAACTGGTTCTTTGAAAAGATTAACAAAATTGACAAACCTTCAGCTAGTTTGACCAAGAAAAAAAGAGAGAATCAGAAATGAAAGAGGGCACATTACTACCAACCCTACAGAAATAAAAATGATTATAATGAAATACTTACGAACAACTGTATGCCAACAAATTAGGTAACTTAGATAAAATGACTAATTCCTAGAAAGACACAAACTACTGAAACTGAGTTAAAAAGAAATAGACAATCTGAATAAACCTAAAATAAGTGAAGACACTGAATCAAATAAAAATCTACCCACAAAGAAAAGCCCAGGCCCAGATAGTTTAACTAATTAATCTTACCAAACATTCAAAGAATTAATACCAATTCTTCATACAAAAAAAAAAACAGCAAAACCAAACTAGCTGCTATTGAGTCGATTCTGACTCATGGTGACCCCATG